CTAAAGGCCCAATTAACCAAAGTGCTAAGGGTAAGACTGTCGATGGTTTTGCTCCATATGCTGAAATGACGAAGGCTACTGAAGGCCTTCGAATCAAATTCCAAGAAGTCAGGATCACTAATGGTCTCAACCTCGAAGTGAACATGGTGGAGATGTGCCAACATGTTGAGATAGATGATGTTGAAAGGTGCATCCATAGAGGAGAAGACCAGATGAAAGTGGCGTACCAACAAATAGGAGACAATCAGTTGGACTTTCTTGTTTGCTGCCAGAAAAAGCACTTTGAGGCTTTGATGTACCCCAGATGCGGAGTAGTGTATGATAGAAAATTTGCGGAGAACTATGAAAGGGTTCAAATTGCTCGAAGAAGGGGAAATTGGAGAGATGTCGGGAGCGAGTTTGTGTTTGAAAAATGAGGAACTTTCAAGCCACCTGCCAATGCTCCAACTGACAGATGGGTAAGACCAACTGAGAATAGGGGACGAGGGCAAGAGAAGTGGAGAAGTTTCGAATTCACAAGAGGATCATCTATAGCCTACAGGAAAGAATCTCAATAGTCAAAACAAAAGGCATATAAGTATGAGAACTACAAATACTCAATTCACTCAAAGTACCAACATTTACCGAAAAACGAGTTTCTGAGGATTTACGTATGAATCACCAAGTTTTATTCAATTGTCAATTTATCTTTACAAAATTTCTTTTAATTCCTTTTACATTCAAGAAGAAATCTCTTTACTTTCATGTTGTTACTTCACATAGTTTCACAATTACTTACCAATTGACCATTACATTCGAAAGGATGAACATTCGAAAATCATAAATTACCAAAAACTAAACAAATTGTCCTAGGATCAATCTAGTCGATCCTGTGAGTAACCAAAAAATATTTGTTTTGGAAGTCTAGCGGATGTTTATTAAGTTTCACAGTAAACAACTACGTGCAGGACAACGTGCTCTGACCAGTTCTCATCAGAAATGGTTGGTTGAGCAGTAGACACACTTTTGTGGACCCCGTCGACGGGCTGCTAAAGTTTCTACAAATGAGGAGGCACATGATCCTGTGAAGGTACTTGTTGTTCCTGTGGAGGCAACCACTTTTGTGGATGTGCCTACTCTTGTGGATGAGCAGGTTATGGTGGAGCTGACTACTGAGGATGTGCCTGATTCTGAGGTTGTGTCGGCTGCTAAGGTTATGGTGGAGTCGGCGGTTGAGGAGGATAAAGAGGTTGCGGCTGCTGAGCAGGTTGTTGTTGAGTGGGCTGATGAGGTGTCTATAATTGATACAGACGTCACGAATCGTGTGTCTATGGAGCCATCAGTTCACACTGGTGGAGGCTTTCTAGGAGGACCTTCAAACAGGTCTGTGCTGACAGGATTTTCTGAGCACGTTGCATACAGGATACGACAGGGCGAGGTAAATATTTTGTTTTCTTTTTTATTGCAAATTTTTCATAACGGCTTGATGTGTAATATACTTTGTTTTTTACAGGAGTGTGCGATGCTGGAGGTTATATCCCATGGTTCAAAGTTGAAGAACTTCCCAGAGGGTGGTGACATGGTTGAGGAGGTCAGACATATTGTGAGATATTTTCATCTGCTGGAGTTTGCTCAGTGCTTCTTGACCATGCTCGACGCCTCCCTTCTATCAATTTTTGTTGAGAGATGGCACTCAAAGACATCATATTTTCATCTTTCATTTGGGGAGATGACCATCACACTGGATGGTGTTGACGCCTTGTTTCACATCCCGATCATTGGTATATTCTTTACTTCTCCTCATATTAGCCAATTGACAGTGTTGCGCATGGTTATAGATGATTTGGAGGTATCTGAGGTGAGAGTTCTAGAGGAGTTTGGCTTTAACCGGGGATTTCACCTTTGGATGTCTTGGTTGAGGACATTGTACGCGGAGCTGGTGGAGGCTTATAGGTACGAGGTTGCTGCTAGGGCGTGCATGTTGCATCTGGTGGCATATACTCTCTTTGCGAACAAGTCTGATATTCACATTAATCTTTGCTACTTGTATCTATTCAGTACACTAGACACTCCATGTTGGGCTTGGAGAGTGGCAGCGTTGACCACGTTGTACACATCACTTGGAGTTTCTTCTCAGCCTGAGACCAGAAAAATAGCTGGTTATCTGAGCCTATTTCAAGTATACTAACATTTATTTGAGTATCTGGTTATCAGGTGTTTACCAATTTATTTGAGTAGAGTTATCAATTTATTTATGCAGTGTTGGATATACGAGTGATTCCCCCACATCTGTGACTGGAGGATCAAGCGTGTCTCGGCTAGTGATCCACGAATGATGAGATGGAAGGGCAAGAAAGCCCATTTATGAGGTGTTCTGGAGTACAGGAGGAGGCTTGACACTCTGACCTTAGTTGATATCGTGTGGACACCATATACATATCACCAGACCCATCGTCCATTTGACAATGCAACTTTGTATTCATGACATATTATGTGGGAGAAACACGTGACTATACACTTGCCTGAGAGGTGCCTGCAACAATATGGTTACGTCCAGGACATCCCTCGTTCAATTCTAGAGTCTCCATATGGTGGCATTGACAGGTGGTTTCAGAGTCACATCATCAGCTCCGCCTTTGAGATCAGGGATACAACAGTTATAGTCCAGGATCTTAGACAGTGCGATGATGGATACAAGAGTGGTATCACATCATATCACACCCTCAGATCATACCAATGACTAGGGCTTCTGATGTACCAGAGCTTTTAAGTGCTACGGTTTCTGACGTGCCGCTGCCACCACCTCCACCACCTGCAGGTGATCAGGACAACTGTCTATAATTTATTGCTCTTCATTTAGATAACCTCGTGGGTTCAGTAAACCTTGATGGTGAGATTTAGACAGATTTAGCTAGGTTAACAAACGTATCCCGTCGGGGGCGTATGTAGATTTGTTATATTTTGGTTGTATTATTTGTATATTTTCATACACATAGACTTCTTATTTATTGCATAATATTTTGACAATTATATTTTTCGACTTGAAGATGAACTTAACATAAAACAGTACAACAAACATAAATTAAAAGCAACTAAACATTAAAACCTAGACATTACCAGATGATTCTGAACGTTTCAGCATCTTCATTATATCGTCAACAGATCTTGTTATCCGCACATCCAACTCGATTAGATCCTTGGTTATCCTACGCGGAAATGATTTACACATGACCTTAACATCTTCGTCGGTCTTCAACTCAATCAAGTTGTATTTCACCCAACCATCTATATCAATCCAATGTTTCTGAAACTCGATCTTACTCGCTCTTCGGTTATCGGTATCTGATATCAATTCATTCAGTTTATCTGTCAAGTTGGCGAGGGATGTGGCGCCATCTGGAAGCTTGAATTCAGCATGAGGACTGTTTTCGTTGAAATACACTTCTACCTTAATCAGATATTGTGGAAGAGGCGTTTTCTTGAGATGTCTTTGTCTCTAACATATGCCCCTATTTATACAAATGGCGATGCATTCTAGACCACATAAATATGTCGGTGCAATCATAACCCTCTAAAGTTGTCGGTAAAATCCTTATCGTTAAAAAAACTTGAATTATGAAAATATCGAAAATTTCAATATATTTGAAATTTTTGGTACCGTCTTGTAAATTTGAAATTTCTGATACACCGGAAATTTCATATGAACTACCGAAAATTGTGAAGTATCAGAATTTTAATACTGATCTACCAGAAATTTCCTCTATATCGAAAATTTCACTTGTTCTACCGGAAATTTTGTCTGAAAATACTTCTAAAATCAACAAGGGTATTTCAAGAATGACGAAAATTGAGGGGTGCCAGATTCAAGTGGAGGGAGTGTCAAGTTAAAACCTCATATAATAATTCTACTCCTTAACAGCAAGGCCCGATGATTGTTGGAGTTGAACAACTCCTAACAAAGCTTGACATTAGATGCTTCTTTTAACTTAGAAATATATTTTAAGCCAACGCCTACTTCAGCGATTGGAGAGAGTATCGTACTCCAAGCCATTGTTACAAGTTTTCCCTTTGTTACAAGTTTTCTCCACTTTTGATCCCCACTCCAAAGAAAATATATGAGATTTATTTCTAGGCTTTTGATTAAAATAACTGGCCAAAAGTAAATAGTCATGGAGTACTAATAAAATAGTTATCGAGTATCAAAGCTTATGGAATTAGCAATGTTGGGAAGTCCGAGGAGCTAAATGTCAATGAGTTAAACAATTAGGATTCAAGAGACATTAACACCATAGATGTACCTAAAATCTTAAGGCATTAGAGACATGTGTCTTTTTTTTATTATATAAAACTAATATTTCTTTCATTTCTAGTTGATGTGAGACTTAACCACTCACACTTGAATCCCAACAATCTCTCTCATAAGTGTGAGTCACCCACATCACTAGTCTTGATCCATATTAAAATCCACTTCTACTCCCTTATCGAGTCTAACCATAACTCTGATACCACTTGTTGGAGAGTCCGAGGAGTAAAGCGCATGAAGTGTCAATGGACTAAACGTTCAAGATCCAAAAGACCTTGACACTACATATTCATCCAAAACCGTAAGATAATGAGAGTATGAGAGTCATTCTCTCTCTTATATATTCAAGATTTCCTCCATTTCTATTGACGTGAGATTTAATCATTCACACTTAAATCCCAACAATCATTATGATTTAACCTAAAAGAAGCTAAAAGTTATTGCTCTCCCAAAAATTATGGATTTATGCTGACTAATAACCTGACCTGAGGTTGCTAAAAGTTATTGCTCTCCCAAAAATTATGGATTTATGCTGACTAATAACCTGACCTGAGATTCGAGCATATCTTAGGAAAAGATCTTATAAAAATTGAATATTACTAGTTGTGCCCTTGCACAAAAGCATAACATAGTCTACATATAAAATGTGAGGAATTTGTTGATGCCTTGTGCCTCTAATAAGCTTCAGTTGATTAGATTTCACTTAGAGATTCCTCTACTAACCACTTCCCCTGCAATATAAAAAAAGCAAGGGAGATAAGAGATCCCGTTGTCTTACCCCACTAGAAAAAGAGAAAAAACCTTCAAATTGCCATTGATAGAGATAGAGTTTAGAAGACTGAAGGATGATGGAGATCCAGTCACAAAAAGTATAGTTGAACCCGAAGACTTTAAGAACTTTTTTAAGGAAAGTCCAATCTATGGTATTAAAGGCTTTGGCTTCTATTTTCATGGAGATGTTACCACCAAAGTACTTTTGGTTTGGCAAATTAATTGCATCACAAGTGATACAGATGAAATCCTTGATTTGTCTACCCTTAAAAAAACCCTCTTTACTCTTTAGCTGCTCCGATATGTATGTCCCCTGATGGAGAAAATACCGCTGCACGTTCATCTTAAAGCTACCATATGTAGCTTCTCTATAACTATTTACTGCATACTACTAAGATTAATAGCAATTAACTCCACAGTTGAAGAAAATTGATGAGCAAGATCTTCAATTAAAATAAAATTATTCTCTGTACCATCTTTTGAAGTTACAATTATTTGTGCAAGAGATCTTTGCTCTGCGAATTATTGTAGGAACATATCACTATTAAAATGTAGCGGTTTACAAGGAAAATTTAGAATTGAAACCACTTATTACATTTATTTACAGGATATAAAGACAATTGTCATTTATACTTTGAAATGTATATCACCTATATGTATATAGAACCAAAAAAAGGAGACCAACCTGTAGGATGAAAGCAGAGAGCAAATAATTACATTTAGAAAAAGGTTCAAAATTCAGAGTGCAAATCAAATGATCAAAGTCCACTGTTTCGAAAGGTTAAGCTTCCGGAATCGGCGCCAATTCCTGAAAAAGTATTTGAAGGAGTATAAGCATCACCAACCACATGAGAGATAACAATAGCACTAAGGCCCTATAAACGCTTATGTACAAGCTATTTCTAGAACAGAAGGTAAAATAGAGTCAAATTGTTTTCATATAAACTACAAACTGTCTTCATAAACTATAATGTAGAACTTCCGAAAATAATCTAAAATCAGCTTATGAACATGTTAAAAACAGTTTTCATAAACCAACTCAAAGAGTCTAACAAGTGTTTATTCCTGGAAATAAACTCAACCAAATCAATTCAAATAAGGCTCAAATGATCAAAACAGTTAACCGAATTACCTCCGCAAACCGCAGGTGCCCGTGCTGAGCTTTCGAAGATTTAACGACTGTTTCCCACTTGGGATCCAGTAATGCTGCATTGGGAGTTTGAGCTGCTGTATGAATGCTGGCGGCGAGGTTAGACCGTGAAGACATACTCTTGGAGGAAGCTGTAGGTAAAGTACGCTTAAGCCAAGACTCTGAAGGACCTTTTGGTGAAGGAAGGGCAAGAGGAATCTTCAAAGAGCTTGTATTTGATCTCACTGACTGGCCTAGCTTCATAGGAAACTGGTTTTCTGAGCCATTCTTCCTGCCACCTACCACCTTTAAGCTAGTCAAATTACTAGGATTCTCATTAGAATCGTGAACATGAGCACAATCTTGATCAGCCAATTTTGCAGCCCGTTGGATCTTCAAACAAAAATCTGAGTCACTAGCCAATTTCGAGTTTCTCCATGGAGCAGGATTCTGAGTTATGCCATTGGAACTTGTTTTATTGCTTGGAACTTCATTTTTGAACTCTATTTTCTTGGGTTTGGCCATTTCTACCCTTGATACCATACTAAAATCGTGATCTAGGTTACTTCCTTGCTTTTCTGTGTTTATTTTGTTTGAATGATTAGTCATTTTCTTCATTTGCGTATCATCACTTGGTTTTTCAGAACAAACCAGGAGAGAAGAATCAAGAAACACTGAACCTTTTGGCTGTAATGCTGGTTTCTCATTCACAGCAACCATGTGTTTGTTATCCTCATTTGAAGAACCTATCAAAAGATTTTTATCGATGCTAGTGTATTTTCTTAAAGTATCGAAATCGTCCTCTCTGAAATCAGTTCTACACTTCATTTCAGAAGAAACCTTATGTACAGAATCTACATATAGAGTTTTCTCAACAGCAGCGCTTTCACAGGTTGATTCAAATTGAATTTTGTCAGAGCCTGATGATTTGTCGACACCTCTTCGATGTGGATCAATGGCATGCTTAGATATTTCCTGATTATGCAGAAAATCGTTCTCTTTTGTAAAGCCAGAATAATTAGCAGTTTTGAGATGCTGCATTAAAAAAAGTGAATAAAAGAACATTAGAGCCTAAAGTGAAATAATAACATAAGCTAAAAGGAAAAGGTAGTGAAAAATTAATACCTCTTTTGTAGTTCTTCTGCTAGAAGCAATTGATTTACCCCGCACTCCATGAGTTGCAGAATTTATATTCTTATCATCCTCCACCCTTAATCCTGGTAATGGATTCAAAAGGCAGAACCGAGGAAATAAACCACAAACTTTTGGCGCATAGCTTTCATATTTATCATTATCATCGCTTTCATCTTCACTTACATCTTGACCCGTGTTTTGTGCATAATGTGGCAAAATATTTCTCCATTTCTGATCCAAAGGACGGGACTTGGCTACACTTTCTACTGTAGGTATCAGTCTAGGTTGTTCTTGTCTAACAAATGGCTTCTTCGACGCGTATTGAGTATGGGGTGTTTCAGAAGCCATTGCCTTTGCCGCAGGTAAGAACCTACCAATCATGAAATCACGAGCCTGTTGATCTGCCAAAAAACTTTCAGATGGTTGAGCTTCTCTATCATCGCATCCACTCAAGCCACTCACACTGCAGTTCATAAAAACTGATTCAGCTCTAGAAAGTGTTTCAAGAGCATCTTGATAGGTCTCGTCCTCATTATCCGAACCAGAATTTTTCTTTTCAAGAACCACTTCTTTTCGTCCATCATGATTTTCCTCTTTACTATCCAATGATGCAACACTGATAGAGTTGGAAACAGTGCTATCTGTTCTGGACTGAGTAACAGACGCGCCCTTAGAACTTTTATCGAAATCTTGTTGTTCGACTTTTAAAACCCTCCCCGGTGGAAGCTTAGGAGCAACAAGAGGTTCTTCCTTTGTTTGTAAATTGCTTTCATTCTTCGGTCTTCCAGGACTCTTCTCCCATACAAAAGGAACAGTTCCGGGATTACTCACTGGACCCGATTTAAACTCTGATTTGTAAGCAGGAAGACGAGTTCGTTTCGATGTTGCCTTTTCAATTTTCTTTTTACCATCATTCTCAGATGATGCTGTCGACGAGAATCGCCTTACTGATAAAAGTGGCCGATTAAAATCCAACTGCTTTTCTTCCATTAGATTTTTCAGTATCATGTATTTGGCTTCTGCAAAACATCAAACATAACTAAATAAGTCAAAAATTGAAACCAGAAATCAATTCTATATGACTCACCATTTGTAATTAAATATTGATAATACAATCATACAACAATGATTGAGATTGACTGAAAAAATGACCCCCAATAAGAAGATAGAGCTCAAGTCTAAATCATGTTATTTTTCACATCTTTGGGCCATCCAATAAGTCACATAAAAGAAGTATGGTAGCATTGGATACTATTCTATATTCCTATTATAGTTTTTTACAAGTTTGAAACTAAACAACTTGAGTTATCTACTTTAACAAAACCATCAAATGCATGAACAGTACAATAATAGGCTTCTAAAACAGAATATTCTGAATAGCATTTCCATTGAACGAAAACTCCGATGTCCGCAAATCCTAGCTTAACTGACGCGAAAACTCCGATGTCCGCAAATCCTAGCTTAACTGACGCAAACACCAGGGTTCAAACCCTGAGTCTCAGGAGTCTGTGTGTGAGTTTATAGTAGTTATTATCACTTATAAAAAAAAAGCATCTACGAATGCATCAAACAAAAACAAGAATCCTCCTATCAAATTGCATCATTCTATGGATTTCTAAACTCAAAATAGAAAGTCAAAATTTCAGTTGTTCTTAACCAGTAGAAAGCATGAGAAAAGTTGCAAATAGGATAAAATTTTACCCTTACGAAAAGTTACAAAAATATCAACAGTAGTTCAAATATCATACATTAAAAAAAAAGGTCAAAATCAAGAACAGGTGAATGTGAATGAAAGAAAGGAAATTCCAATTCCAATTCGAATTCCAATGTTGATCTAAAATAGTAGTGTATATAGCATCCTACACAATTGTTAATCTTAAATCATAATAAAAATCAAATTCAATCGCTTTCAACGAATTGGTTAAAGGTAAGAGCATGGTTGAATATTAATATTAAAAAAGCACTTGTTAAAAGAATCGATTATTCCGCGTTTATGAAACTCAAGAAACAGCGAAATAGAGAGAAAGAAAGAAGAGGCGAGAAATGAACTCACGTTGAGATTCGGTGTTGAAAAAGAAAGAGCTGAGAAGAGAAGAAGAAGAAAAAGGAAGGTTCGTTTGTTAGTCACGAGAACGCGGTGAAAGTGGAAAAAAGAGAGAAATGTGTGAGAATAAATGAGTTTGTACTGTTAAGCATTTTTTGTGACTATTTTTTTTTTTTTATGCCGCTTGGTTCTGATTCCTGAAGTTACCACCAGCTAGTGGTGTTTGTAGTACAGAGAAATATCTATTCAAAAATAGTACCAATTTAAATCTTATTTATTTGGTCCTTATTATTTTTTGAAAATGAATTTTGTATGGGAAAATAAAAAATGTGTACGTTAGATTGTTATGATTAATTTAATGATGATGAAGTTCTTGAGCATTAATTTAGGGGCCACTTGAGTGTTGGATCATGTGAAATAATTATGAAAGATATTAGTATATCCCATGAAAAAGTGACATGTGCGTCGATTTTTTTAATTTTAAAAAAAAAAGTTTCCAAAACACTTCATGTTAAGAAAATGTCAAACCATCTCACTGTTAAGATTCTCCAAACACCTTCAAGTAAACTCTAAAGTAGGATAATTTGGAGAAATTTTTTTTAATGGGAAATATTTTAGGATTTTTTTTATAAAAAGATTGGAAATAAAGTTTCAAATGGGAACACAAGAAAGAGAAAAAGTGTCAAGTTTGTTTATTTTACTTGTTGAATAATTAAGGGTGTATAATAGTTATAGCTAAGCATGTGGGGTCCACTGCATTTTTGCACTCATGCAATGCAAGGCAAGTGCTGCCTTTCCAACCTTTTTTCAAGTATAACTTGAGTATTATAGTTCTCATAATGGATTATATTATATTGTTTCAATATACATGGAATCATTTTAAGATTGTCCAAAATAGAGGTCCGAAAACTGATCTGGCCCGTCATTCATATTCGTCTTTTTTTTTTTTAATGTATTTTTTTAAGGTGGATTAAGATTTTAGGCTCATATTCTTTTATATATTTAATTTATTCGTGCTATGAATTTTACATGGGATAATATAATATAAATATGTTGTTGTGAAAAAAAATGTCAAAAACAATATATAAATAGATTTTTGAATACCAAAAAACCTTAAAGATATAAAAAGAAATAACGGAATTTATTATAAACTGTTATTTTTTATTTTCTTTTTGAAAACAAGATGACAAGTGTGACATAGTAACAAATAACATCTTTCACCCTAATTAGAATTTGTATTTATAGGAAAACTAACACATTAAACTAATGAGTTTTACACATAGACGCATTACATAAGCTAACTTAGAAAATAAGCTAATTTAAACAATTGAGCTTTTATAAACAAGCTCAATTCAACAATGTTAGAAATCCTAGCATTTCAACTACTGCATACTTGAGCATACTTCGACTACCGCATTGCATGTCTTCGACCACAACATGTGAACGGACTTCGACGACATGTTAAGATCGTGTTGAATTGTCAAATCAAGAAGTTATCATTTGATCATACTACAGTTTGATCAAATATATCACAAATATCAACTTTGGAACAAACTCTATAACATATAGAGAACAAACTAGCTTTCTTCATACAATTTTATCCACTGCATACAATGGAAAAACTTGTAACTTGGCAAGTCTTGGTGATCATATCAGCAACGTTGTGATCTGTCGAAACCTTCAGCAAGTGTATAACACTTTGACTATCATATTTAATAGTGATAACTCACCCTTAAAGTTTCATCCCCTTAGCAAAACCTTCAAGCTGCAATGCTTCTTCCACAACTTCAGTGAGGGAGATATATTCCACTTCAATGGTTGATAAGTCTACAACCTTCTGAAGTGTCGCTTTCCAACTGCTTATTGTGCCAAACATAGTGCATACATATCCAGGAATAGGTTTCTTGGAAGTCATGTAACCTGCATAGTCAGAGTCGACATACCCTTTGATTTCTGCTTTACTATCTTTAACACATGCTCCACCATAAATTAGGACTTTATTAAGAGACACATCTATGTACCTTAAAATCTACTTCAATGCTTGCCAATTATCCTTTCTAAGATTTGCCATGTACCTACTTACAAGACTTATTGCATATGTTATATCGGGTCTAGTATAGACCATAACATACATCAAAGAACCTACTATGTTAGCATATGGGATGTTATTCATATAAGCTCTTTCGATCTCAATAATGGGACATTGATCTATGCCTAGCTAGAATTGAGGGCTTGTCGGAGTCACAACAGGCTTTGAATTCGACATACCAAACTTATCGAGAACTATCCGTAGATATGTCTCTTGAGATAAACATAATTTTGATTGATTTTTATCTCTTCGGATGTCAATCCCAAGAATCATGGAGGCAGATCCCAGATCCTTCATGTCAAATTCCTTATTAAGTTCAACCTTCACCTTCATTACATCCTCGACATTGTTGCTTTCTATGAGAATATCATCCACATAAAGTAACAAAATAACAAGTGAATTTCCAGGTCGAAATCTGAAGTAAACACAGTGGTCGAACTGACTTCTGATGAAACCTATGTGTACCATGAACTTGTCGATTCTCCTATTCCACTGACGAAAAGATTATTTTATGCCATATAATGACCTGTTCATCTTGCACACATACTCTTCATTTACCCTTTCTGCATACCCTTTAAGTTGCCTCATCAAGATTGTTTCATCTAGATCTCCATACAAGAAAGAAGTATTCACTTCCATTTATTCTAGTTCTAGGTTGAACTAAGCCACCATGGCAAATAACATTCAAATAGACATGCGCTTCACAACCAGAGAGAACACATCATTAAAGTCGATACCTTCTTTATAAGTGAAACCCCTTGCGAATAATCTTGCCTTGTATCTCTTTTACATCACTCCTTTAATTCCTTTCTTAACTTTGAAAATCTACTTACAACTGACTAACCCAGCTCTAGTAGGTTTTTTGATCAGTTCTCAAGTGTGGTTATTATGAAGAGACTTCATCTCACCATCCATGACCTTCAGTCATTCAGTTTTATTTCGACTCCTCAAAACTTCCTTATAGTCTCTAGGTTCTTCATGTAGAACCTCACTTGTAGAGATTAAGGCATAAGCTATGAGATCTACATACCCAAGTCTTTGAGGTGGCTTGATAACTCTTCTAGGTCTATCTCTTGTCAATAGGTAGTCATTGGTAATTTCCTCGACTTCCTCAATATCTTTAGCATCTTGTGCTTCTTCTTCGACTTATTTTAGGATACATAATTTAGCATCTACGTGCTCTACCTCAAAATGAATTTTTTCCTATTCCAGCTCTTCTTCGGATACTTTTGCACTTCGACCAACGTCATTAGTTTTCTTGACATATATCTCAGCTTCATTAAAAACTACATCTCAACTGGTGATACACCTTCTACGACCTGGCTCTAGGCACCATGGCATATAAGCTTTGACTTCTTCAGGATATCCCATGAACATGCATCTTAGAGCTTTAGGTTCAACCTTATCTAGCCTAATGTGAGCATAGGTTACGGGGGGAAATACTCCAAGTTTGTCGAGATCTGGTGGATGTCCCGACCAAACTTCTTCAGGTGTCTTCATATCTAACGCAATCAAAGGGCATATGTTTATCAGATATGTTGTTGTCGAAACAACCTCTGCCTAAAACACCTTCTTTAATCCAACACTAGTTAACATGCATCTAACTCTTTCCAAAATGGTTTGATTAAACCTTACATCTAAACCATTTTGTTGGGGAGTACCTGCAGTAATTTTGTGCCTTGAAATACCAGAGGTTGCACAAAAACTATTGAACGCCGCATTGCAAAATTCAAGACCATTGTCGATTCTCAACCTATTGACCTTTCCGCCAGTCTGATTTTTGACAGGGTCTTCCAACTTTTAAAATTCTCAAAAGTTTCATCCTTAGTCTTCTGGATGAATACCCATAACTTTTTGGAATAATCATCAACTATA